CAAGCTGGAAAACAGGAAGCAGCAATGCAATAGTTGTAAAGTCTGGAGAGAACTGGAGTCAGCTCAGGAACACATTTCTTTAGGACGACGGCTGAGATACCGTCACCTCCGCTTGCCTTATGTGAGTTTAATTTAGAAATAATGTCCGAGACCTGTGACGGGGTGATGCGCTTATCACTCAGTAGAGCCTCTGTTCTAGGAGGGAAAACAGGTGCGGGTAATTCAACTGAGTTGAGCGTTGAGTTGGAAGAGAATTTCCGAGAAAAGAATGCAACTGTTTCTGCTGTAGATGTTTGAATAGAGGAGGGATAAAGGATTTTCTGTTGTTCAGCACACACTTGCAGAGCCACCACTTATCTCTAGAACCGAACTTGAGAGATGCTATACATCGTTTCATTCTATGATCAAACAGTAGACGTCCTTCTTTGAGGACACTCGTTACGAGCAGAGACAAAGCGACGTCTGTTGCAATGAGACGTGCCGCTCTGGTACAGCCAGATGAAGTGATTCCTGTGGGCTATAGCAGCTGCGCATGTAGGTCATTACCAAGGAAATGAATGCGGTTTAACTTGGTATTTCCTTGCTGGAATGAAAGCATCGATGCTGGCTTTCACCCAGGAGGAGACCTCAGACGCGCATTTTTGAAAGGAAAGGATCATGGGCAGGAATCGAGAAATTGGAGAAGGGGCTTGAAGATTTAAAAAAACAGAGTTATATATATATATATATATATATATATATATATATATCGATTTAAAGAAAATGAATTTCTTTTGTATGACATTTTTTTTTTTTTTTTTTTTGCAGGACCTAGGAACCTTTCGGCCAACGCTTCATCAGGGTCTTTCGATGGCAAATGATTTTAAACAAACAATGAAAATGAAAAAAAACGCCAAAAATGGTATGATTGGAACACGTCTAAAATTTTACGAAGATATGTATACGTAAAATTAAAATAAATTTACGATTAAAATAAATGCGTAAATAATGAATTAATAATAATGAACCAACCTGAGCAGTAAGATAGGAAAATAAGTTGCTCATATATCAAAAAATAAATTTAGCGATCGTGAAAAATTCTCTTTTTGTTTAGAAAGCGATGGTTTAAATAATTTGAGGCAGATGGCTTCCAAAATAGACAGATGATATTTGGACCTGCCTACGCATATAATTGAAAACGAGTCCATTGTGAAACGTTTTGAGCATGACTCATTTTCTAATAGGTGTTGCCCGATCGCCGAATCGTGAGCTGATTGCGAAACACGAATGCGATTATCTAAATTTAATTTAATGTGTCTGGGTACATGTTGTCCGATTCTTGTTTCCAAACGAAGACATGTTCGCCCTATGTATTCAGCTTCGCACTGACGTTTAAATTTATATATAATCGAACTTTTATTATGATAGGGCAAATGATCCTTGGAAAAAGACGGAAAAACAGTACGAGTACCAAAGACAACACGTACTTTGGCCGAAAAGAAGGTAGCAGAAACAACATTTGAAACTTTATCAGTCAAAAGTTTACATTTTCTGCCCAGCCAAGGTAATTTCAGATAAATAGGGCAAAGACCTGGGCCAAATTTTGGGGGCATATTGAAATTCTCTATTTTCCGCTTTATTGTGCGGTCAACAATGTTGGCTGGAAAACCATTGTTGATGAGAATGTCTCGAATTTTGTTCAACTCTTGTTGAAGTGTGCTAGAGGAACAAATTAATAAAGCCCTATGAGCTAAGGTCTTAACCAGATTTATTTTTCTGGTATGGGGGACAAATGAGTTCCAATTAGTGTAAAGACCCGAAAAGGTTTCTTTACGAAACACACTAGTGATGAAAATATTATTCTTTCGTTCCACATGAACATCTAAAAAGGATATAGAATTATTCATTTCTTCTTCCATAGTGAAGACTAAAGACGGGTGCAAGGAATTTAACGCTTCACAAAAGAGAGTGGCTTCCTCTATGTTATTAAATAGAGAAAAAGTATCATCAACATAACGTTGATAGATGTAAGGTTTTTGATATTTCTCAAATAAAATGCTCTCATGATATCCGACAAAGATGTTGGCCAAAAATATATATATATATATATAAGTAAATGCTGTGTTTTATAATAAACAGTATTAATAAAATTTACCGGCCTGAATGTCCGAGAAATTAAGGCACGTCAATCTATATGACGGTTCAATATAGGATACAGGTTCGATTTCTGTCGGAGGACTAATATTTTCTATGAGAATTTCTCGGACATTCAGGCCGATAAATGCTATTAATACTGTTTATTATAAACAGAGCATTTACTTAAATACTTGTATCTATAAAAAGAGTGTATAAACATAAAATATCTTTAAATAATTGTTGGACTTTTTCCATTTCATAATATATATATATATATATATATATATATATATATATATATATATATATATATATATATAGAGAAAGAGAGAAAGAATAAATGAAGTATTCGCTAAAATATCAAAAAACAATCATATCTAATCCAAAATCTGAAAAAGAAGAAAACATGTAAAAAAGACAAAAAAAAGAAAAGATACCTACCTAAACAAAAAAATGACGATTCTGAATATCTCTAGAAATCAAACCAAGACAGAATGCAGCAATAACAAAGCCTAAAATGCGCTCAAGGACGGCGAACTGAAATCGTTACCCTCACTTTCCCACTAAGGCGATTTTCAGACGAAAGGATCGAGGTAAGAACAACAATCTTAAATAATTTTATTATAATTTGCTTGTTTCTTGATCCTCCTCTGATCTTTACGTTTGATCATCGCTGTAGCGTGAAACTCGAAGTAACGATTTAGATTGGAATCCCTGAGGGCTTTTTGATGTTATATATATATATATATATATATATATATATATATATATATGTGTGTGTGTGTGTGTGTGTGTGTATGTATGTGTGTGTATGTGTGTGTAAGTGTTACAATAAATCATTCATACAAAATGTAAATTAGTAAAGTTAAAGATATAAAATGGCGAAATACCTTCCCTAACTAAATTTTAAAGATAAATCAACTCAGTAATCACTCGGAAGCTATTTACCAAAAACAAAATAGTTTCCATACTTGATGATGACCAGGCGAACCGTCGAAAATACTTGCATATTTAAGGAAGACTTAATACAGTTAATAATTTTAAAAAACTAGGATCATAACATTCATCGAGTAATTAGTCGGTTAATGCGTCTTTAAAATTTTGTTAGCGAAGAGATTTCGCCATTTTATATCATTAATTTTACTAATTTACTTTTTTATGAATGATTCATTGTAATATGAATTGAACTGCATCACATATTTGATATATTTATATATATATTTCTCTGTCTATTTAATCAACATTCTTGCATTAATTCATGTTTTATTAAATACAAAAATTGTTTTTAGGAAACTTCTAAGAAGAAACACATAAACAAATCCCAGCGTTGCTTTCACTTTTCAACAAAATAATGGAACGCCCTCTTTCAACATTCTGTACAGAGAAAATTTTCGCCTGTAATTTAAAAATTGAATCAAGACATTTTCAATTCAGACTCAATAAGGTCTTGAATTTTGTTAATGTCTAAACAAAAAAACCGAAAGCAATCAAAAATAATTTTAACAGTTTTAACATAGACTAATCCTTTGTTCACTACTAGAGGAGCAGGAAAACTTAATTCAGAGTCGTAGCCCCTTCATATTTTTCTGTTTACTACTGACATATCTACTTTACTTAAACGTCTTAATCTACTTTATTGTTTCGCTCTTTTAATGAATCCCTCATACCAAATCATCAATTTAAAATCTAAAAATTCGTTTTTTTTATTTTTGACCTGTTCTATTTGCTTTCATGTTTTTCTTTTTCAAGGTCCTTATTGAATAGAAAACAAATCTGCTTTTAAGATCTTTAATTTGAAAAACGTATCGTAATATAAACAGAAGACATTTTTCTGGTTTATTCAAAATTCAACCGGAATGATCCCCAAGTCAATGAAAATTAAAATGACAGGTTTTGTTCTAAACTGGCGAAACGAAAATGTCCTTCATTGGTAAATTAGAGAATTGATTAGAATTCAAATCGAAAAGATAATTAGAATTTTGATATTATGTAGAATTCGAATTTCTGATTCCCATAACATGGGGATTATGGTTGAGTTGAGAATTTCTTTCGTGATTGACGCTTGCTCTGGTGAATATCGTCAAACAATTTAGGTTTAGAATTCGTCACAAGAAACTAATTCTTCTCCTATTCAGGTGAAAGTAGATCTTTCGCGTTTTATGAAATAACATAAAAATAACTTCTCCAATAAAAGAACTTTCTTTGTTTACTTGAAACGAATCCCTTGGCCAAAATGTAATTAATGGTCTTCTTCTAAAATTCATTTTAATTAAACAAAGTTTGCGAAAAGAAATTATCAATAACAAAAACCGAGTCTTTTGATATGAGATTAGAAAACTGATCAAAAAATAATTATGAGAAAATATCTCTAGCCTTAAGTGTGTATGTGATTTTGTGTATGTGTTTGTGCGTGCATTTTAGTGTGTTGTTATATTGCATGGATGGTTGGTTGACTTTCAACGGCATATCAACCTCTGTGGGTTATTTAAAGCGGAAATCTAAATATTTTAAAAGACATAAAAAGGCTTCAACAACGAGATATTTTGAACGCAATTGTATGCCTTCAGCTACAGATAAAATGTATTGTTGGTAATTCTGCTATAAAATTCTTTGTTTGTCATTCTACTAGAAATAGGTATTGTTGGGAATTTTTTAATATAAAATTTATTGCTGCATTTTTACTATAAATATGTATTTTTATACTGTCATAGTTTTTTTTTTTTTTTTGGTTATTCACTATTTGATCAGAACTGGGACCTTAGCAGCTGCTACCATGACGGATCAGGGTGGAACTGGGAATAACAAATATTTCCACACCCCTCAAAACTTTTCATTTCTCGATCAGAGGTCTTGCTGCCGGATGTAGTTTATCGTCATATTCAGGACTAATATTCCATTGGTAATATATGATTTCTATTCATGTGCAATATGTGTAGACAGAGGAAAGAAACATACAATTTTACATAAAAAAAGTTAAATGAATAGATAGACACAAAGATTTTAATGGCTAGATAGATAGATAGATAGATAGATAGATAGATAGATAGATAGATAGTCCTCTCCTCTCGTTTTCCGAGCTCACCCTCAGCTGGGGAGGCTAGAAAATCTCCGTTGCAGACGCCTACTCAAGAACATTTACGCGTGTTCAGCACCCACGGAACCCGCCTGTGCTTTACATTGGAGCTATGCTGACCGGATATTAGTCATAGTTTCTGAAGGAGAAAGAGAATAATCTGGCATGATCAGGTCATTTGAACAAGGCCAGTACGCCTCAGAACATCGATCACGGCAATGATATGACTTCTTGCTAGCACAATCACCGAACGGCTCTTAAACAGTACCGTCTACCCAATCTCATTCACAAGGTTTGGATCAACCCTTGGTATGGTTTTCAGGCACTTTACAAAGGTACCTTATGCTGGGATCAAGTGCCCAGACCGATAGCATCAAGAATGTCACCTGATAAATTGATCACAGTGAAATTCAAACACGTGGCCGGAAAGCAAACGTTCTAATCACTCGGCCATTCATATACACACATACATATATGCATGAGAACTGTCGAATGGCTAAATGAGTGTAAAAATCGCTGACAAGTTTGATCAATGATTTAGGTACTCGCAAGAACAACCATCGCTCTTAATGCCTGCAAGTAACATGCTTTGCTTGTTGCGGATTGTTTTGTACAGGGTCTAGCCTGTTTAGTAAAATCTTTTCAAGTTTTTGTGTGGCGGTTGGGACCGACGCGGTTGGGACCAACACGGTTTCTGCAATTTTTCTGACACAACCTACTTATTTAGTCATTTCCAGCGTAGTAAAGATCATAAATTGGAAAAGAAAGGTCTATCAACATGAGCCTCCTTGTGGCTAACGAAGCCTGCATCGGAGAGATATACTCTGTCTCATTCATCACATGTAAATTGATATATTTCTGAACTTATGATTTCCTCATTCCTCCTTGCTGACATTTGCCCAACTCGTTGAATGTTCGTTGAAGATCTTAGTGCCTTTATGAATTGTATCATCTGTATAGTAGGCTGCAAGAAACTCGATTTACAGAAGGATGGATGGATTGTTGATTTGTTTTACCAGCACATCAAACCTCTGTGGGTCATTTAATACTGAAACTGGATTTTTATTCAGGAATATTCAGAACATTTTAAGTGGTCGTAAGGTTTTAAAATTGAAGAGTAAGATATGGTTTTGGGGTTGGTAATAGTTGCTACGTATTTTTGTACTTCTCACATTCTATCAAGATATGTTTGATTTTGAGAAATTGGTTGCAGTGAGTACATTGAGGTGTAGTTTCTGCCTTGAGCATGTATGTGTCTGCCAAGTATGTATCTCCATTTCTTATTCTGTTGAGCGCTATGTTTTGTCCACGATCATCTAATCATTAATGTAGTCACTGCAACTAATTTCTCACAGTCAATCATATCTTGATAGAATGTAAGAAGTCGAAATCGATTTACCGAATTATGTAAACTCTGATAACAGAGAAATTAACTATTTACATTACTGAAATAGCAACTGTGTGTCAGAGTCAGATAGAGTCAGATCCTTTGTCATTTTCAGTCAGATACTTTGTCATTTTGCTTTGAAAATTAAACAACACTAGAAAAAGTCAAAGCGCTTATATCACAATGGAAAGTTTGGCAATCAAGACCTTAGAGAGAGGGACACTGGTAATCATTATACGGCCGAGCAAGACCTTAGAGAGAGGGACATTGGAAATCATTATACGGCCATCAAGACCTTACAAGACCTTACAGAGAGCGACACTGGTAATCATTATACGGCCAGTAAAACCTTACAGAGAGCGACACTGGTAATCATTATACGGCCAGCAAGACAAAGGAAACGCTTCAGCGTTGATGTACAATTTGGAATACTCCAAACAATTGGCAAACCTAGTTGAGGGATGGCAGCTATAGCAAATGAAGCGAGAATCAAGTGAAAATACTGGACAAGGTAGAACACCGGAAAGCTAGACATCCGAAAGTATCAGTGTATATGCATGGCTATGAAGACCTTCTTAGTTGGCCTAACATAGAAATAAATTCAATATAGGAGCCGCTAATAAAGAAAGACAGAAAAATCATAACAAGTCATCTATCACTGCAGCAGCCATCAAAACATTATCAACAGCAATCAAAACATAGGCAGAAGTAGTCAAAATGTGACAGCCATCAGCAGCAGTAGCAGCAACCGAATCAGCAGTGGAAACCTAATCAGTAGTTAAGGTTAGGTTTAAGTATACTCCAACAAATTATTCTACGGGATAATGGCCCAGTGATTTGTAAATTCGGTGACATATTCTTTTTGAGTTAAAACTCTGGGACAGGCAGTGTGTACTTGCATGAGCAATACCTGAACAGTACTAAATAAAAATAAAAACTTGACGACATAACTAAATATGAACAGTGGAACGAGAATAGTCTACTCCCGTAGATTAAATAAAGTGTTCAATTCTGTAGGTCTACCGAGGAAGAGTCGGAAGGTACGACAGCCGAAACGTTGTGATAAAAACAACAAAGATGAGGACAACAGTCCGAATATAAATAGTATAAATAATAACTCTTCGTCACAGAAATAAAAAGAAAAAATTATAGAAAATACATTTGATAAAATATAAAATTTCTTTTAAAGACAAAAAACAAAATACTAACAAAAAAAAACTTCAAACTAAGTCTTGCGACGAATTTTTCTATGGTGGTAAGTTGTTCAATAAGTGATAACAAAAGTTTTCTCATTACCCGACAGATGAAAAAATGGAAAATAAAAAATTCTGATTCTTTTGACTATAAGCAGAATATCAATATTGGTTATAGTAAACGTTTGTGAAAAAACAATTAAAAATACAATCTCAATACAAATATCTCACTTTCAAAATCTATTCTCGGATATTTGAGGGCATCTTATTGCGTGTCTTGTACGTCAGGAATTGTGGTCGAAAGAAGTGGAGACGCAAAATTCAAGGAGGTAACCACTACTGCAAGTAAAGCATATATTGTGGCAAATATTTCATTAATAATTTCTTCGGAAGTTTGCAGACAAAAACTTTTTTAAATGTCAATTCGCTTTCAGGTACTGCTGATTAAAATCAGGCCAAAAGAGAAAACCCCAAGTGAAAAGAATCTTACCAAAGGAAGTAAAAAAAAGGAAGGAAGGAAGAAAGCAAAGATAAAAGCAAGAAAGAAAGAAAGAAAGAAAGAAAGGATAAGAGCAAAGAAGAAAGAAAAGAGGAAGGCTGGAAGGACTACATTTATGAGAAACTATCGTTGTTTTTTAATGTCTTAGTTTTTATTTTTTGTTAGTGCTTTCTGTTTTTGGTCGATATTTGTTCGTTCGCTTACTTCTCAAAATATTTTCTTGCATGTTGATTTGTTTGGAAAAGCATTCTAAAAGTTTGAATTTTAAATACAGAGAGTTACACAAAACAAAAGACAAAAATGGCTCATATAATGAATAGCAGGAAGAAAAGAATAGCTGTTACGTGAAAAAAAAAAGAACGAATGAAAAAATTACAAAATTATAACAAAAATAACTTTGAAAGAGAAAAACAAAAACAAAAAAGTAAATTAGAACTTTGGAATTACATTTTCGAAAGTATTTTAATGAAAGCCATAAGAAATATAAAACTGCAGAATGGAAGAAATATAAAAAGGACTGGAGATATGAAACATGCTTTATTCCGTTCTCTTTTGGCAAGGCCATTTCGATCAGTGCCAATTAACAGATGCAAACTAATAATGCAATCATCAAGGACAACACTCTGGCTTATTTATGAAAGAATGTACGCAGCTTTTAAAAACATGAACACTGGCAATTTTTCCATGACAACAAAGCATAAATATTTATCGCCTCATTTATGACATTCTGCATTTTCCTCTTTTCTATTTTAATTCTTTGTGTTCTTACGTTTTTAATCATTTTGCGAACAGTTTTCTCTTTTTACAGGTCGAATATCTAAAGTAGGAAATTTCGGTAACAATCCTTCGTTTAAACAGGTTCTGTTGAATAGAAAAGACAAGGAATATCTATTAAGTCTTTTACGAATAAAATGTTTAACTTCTGTCTATATTTCTGAGCTGAGGTATTATATACATTATTTACATTATTCAGCCTATTGTGCTCATCTTTGTCGCCATATTTATTACAACGTTTCGGCCCTTTAGTATCTGTTTATATTTCTGAGATGAGGTATTATGTACACTATTTACATTATTCGGCCTATTATGCTCATTTTTGTCGCTATATTTATTACAACGTTTAGGCCGTTGTACGCCCTGGACTACAGGTGGTTGGAATGACGAATTAAACCCTTTATTTTGCTCACTGGGGTAGACTGATCTAGTTCCACGTGCAATGTTTTAATGGATGTCAGTTATCAGTTATCTCCTGTTAATTCCCCTGTCCAAGTTCTCCACTGCCTTAACCGGGTATTGAACTCACACTCTTTGTCTAGCTAAAATCAACCAAACAACCAACATGAAAGAATTCTTTCATGATATTGATCCATAAAATATCCTACAATTTCTTCAAGAAATCAAACAGACATATCACTGTCTTTAGTAATCATATCCATACAAACATGAATATGCACAAAAGCTGAGTATCATTTACCATGTATTCAATTGTGAAAGCAGAATAACATATATCATATTTTTATTACTTAAAAGCTTCCAAGGAAATTAAATTTCAGCATTAAATTACCCATGAGGAAATTGATATGCCGATAAACAAATCAATCAAGTAAAAATGATAGAAACATGGTGAGATTCTCGTTTAATCTCATGTGGAAAATTGTCATGGTGAGATTCTCGTTTAATCTCATGTGGAAAATTGTCATGGTGAGATTCTCGTTTAATCTCATGTGGAAAATTGTCATGGTGAGATTCTCGTTTAATCTCATGTGGAAAATTGTCATGGTGAGATTCTCGTTTAATCTCATGTGGAAAATTGTCATGGTGAGATTCTCGTTTAATCTCATGTGGAAAATTGTCAACGGACTTTTGCCGGAATTATCTGTATTTTCTCCCATCGTTTGTCATTTTCAAAGAATGGTGGATAATGTCAAGAGTTATGCAATGAAGCCCTTCCATATTTTTAACGGTTCAGTATTTGAAATGAATGTTTCTTCTATAATGATGGATAGATCATAGGAACACTTGAAGAAAGTTGCTTTACGATTCAAAAGCATTTTAACATGAGCTCGCCGAGATTGAAACAAATTTTAATGATACGAGGACGCCGTCAGTTGATGTGAAGAACCCCCATAATGTTCAATCCCCTTTTGAAGTTAGTTTTTCAGAGTACTGTTGTATTGTCGACCACAGTCTGGATATAATTAGAAAAGGCGCCGTGGAATTGTGTCAGATTATTATATATGACATTTTAGACGGTGAGGTGACAGTTCAGTCTCATCAAAAGAAATGCTGATTGTTTTATTGTTATCGACAGAGGTACAGTTTCCCAACAGAATCAGAACACAACAAGTCTTTTACGATGTTTTTGTTTTAGTGTGTGTATGTGTGTGTGTGTTTGTGTGTGTGTATGTGGATATGTGTTGTTAGCAACCATGATGTTGAGAGTTTTTAATTTATTGGAGCATATGACGAATTTTAAGCGATTTTTATTATCTGCAGAAATATTTTTACTACCTTTGTGTAGTAGCTTTTCGCCATTTTTACAACTCAGAGTTCATCTTGTGACAGTAAAATAATTCTTTTATTGTGGCTTCGATCAGGTTTATTGTGGCTAGCTTTCGATTCCTACCTTATTTCTTTGCAAATCATCAAAATGATCACCGACATATGACACACAATTTCGGCAAGTTGCTTTATGACAAAAGAAAGACTTAGTTGACGCCAGAAGCCCACCGAGAGATTTAACAAACATTAACTGTTACTTCTATTCAATAAAACATGTTTAATTAATACACAATTTGAAACCCTAACCCAAGATGGACGTTGATCGAAAATATATCAAAAGGGGAAACATTTTTGTCAGATTTTAATCAAACGTCCACGACGACAACATTGCTATAATTGATGAAGAGCAGCATTTTTTAAAAGTGAAAAATATATTTTGCTTGTTTCATAGAATTTATTGTTTTGTTTTTTTTCTACACGAATTTCTCTACTTCACGATTCCAATATGGAGACCCACTTTCTCGTCTGAAAAGTATAAAAGCAGCCTTTTATTAAAATTTCTATAAATATATCCACCAACATAAATAAATAAATGACCAAAAATTAAGTATATATATTTCTTTAAGAATAAATAGGCTTATTCATTTTATAAAAAAAAAGATTTAAAATGCTCACAACATCGACACCTAGAAATAGTGAATGTCGTTCAAAAATCGATGATAAAAACAACTTTGTTAGAATTTCATGGTTATACTTGGAAATCGGCTTCAGAGCAAAATGAAAACATTAAGTCACCTCTGATGAAAATTAATTATATTTTTAATGTAAGCATAATTTTTGTTTCCCCCAATTATAGGTTAGATAGCAAGATATATTGAGCCTTGATTGCCAACCATTCTAGGATAAGAAAACTTCGTATTTAAAACGGTAAGAAGGAAAAGAGATTCCATTTCACTATTTTTTCCTAGGACAATCAGGAATATACACAGTTTACATACTTTAAAAGAAAAGAACTTGTGGAGAGCCACTACCATTTACGTTCTATATAGAAAAGAGAACCAATACCGATGAGAAAAGCATTTATTTTGCACAAAAAAATATTTATTTTTCAACACAATCTCCTCCCATGCCAATGCACATAATTCATGTGATTATTTTTTAGGTAAATTGAAATTTATACATTTAAACTTTCACATCAAAACTCAAGTAATACCTAGGTCTTTAAAATAAGGATTTACTAAGTTCATTTTTCTTATTAATTGTTTCTTTCCAGATAAACTGACATCTGATCATTCAAAGAAGACTATTCGTCCTGGTGGTCAAAAAGTCATCAAGAGCCAAAGTCGCACACAGCAGCTATTGAAATTGATGTCATGTGCGCCTGATGATTGCCTGACGGAGCAAAAACCCCTTTCGTCAGTTTTCCCGGGCGTTTCGTTTTAATAGCCTTTCGTAACTACCTCAGAATGTTGGCAAAATACTCTCCATTGATGGCGTGACTCTTTTGAAGATACTCAATAAACACAATGTTTTTTGCTTCCAAAAAAACTGAGGTCATTACCTTCCCTGCAAATGAAACGACCTTGACCTACTTTGGAGGAGGAGAGGAAGATGGGTGTTTCCATTGCATGAATATTTTCTTTGTCTCTGGCTCAAAGTGATAAACCCAACAAACATCCTGGGTTAGGAAAACGTTCAAGGAAACTAAGTGGATCTGCCTGAGACAATGTGAGATTTCCCCCGTGATGTGATCAGCCTGGTGTGCTTTTGATCAGGTGTCAAAAGTCGTGGCACCCATCGAGCAGCAGAAACTGTTGTCATGCCAAGTTCATTATGCAGAATATTCTCAACTTTCTCACGGGATATACTAGCGGCATTGGCTATTTGATTTATAGAACACTATCAGTGTTTTCCTCGATGGTGGCAGTCGCAGAACGTCCAAACCTTGGGTCATCTTCAAGACTCTTCCTGCCACTTCTAAATTCAGCTGCCAACGTTTGCACTGTTGGTAAAGTTAGAGCGTCATCCACTAATGTAGCAACCATGCCAGAAAGAAAGGATTTATAGCTCCCAAGGCTATTCATGCTGACGTGGTTGCTATATTAGGGGATAAGTAGGGTATTTGATAACAACACGGTGCCAAATCTTGTACAAGAGAAGTCGCTACTAGTTACTTTGAAGTCTGCCAAGAATCAATACAGTTATTAATAAAAAGAGTTGCAATTAATGCATGCAAGATTTCACGACCTTAACGTCACTCTTTCCTAATGAGCCTGTGAACATTTCAGCCCTCCCACCATTTATGCGGGTGGGCTGAAATGAATGCGACTAGCTAAGTTTGAGGTAAGATAGATGATGACCAGCCTTCCCTATCCCGACCTTTGGCCTGAAACAATGATATTACTGATTCTTCTTTGGATTTTATTAAAGATCTCTTGATATATAACATATATAATGAAATTCCAGATTCAACCTAGAAATAGTTTTAAACATTCTTATGCTTATTTTTTCCATTCGATTTTGCAATGTGGATCGGACTGAGAACCTTTCGGAGCCCCCACCTTCTTACATACATGTATTTCCATAATGCTTTTACCTAATGCAAGGCTTAAGAGCTACTCAAGCTAGAATTTGGTTTCTTTATAGATATACAAGGGGAATTAAGAATTGCAAATTATGAGGATATGTAGGATAGAAAACGATGGACTCTTGCCTTGAAGAGGTTAAGATTGTAGTGATCGTGAAAGTATTTTCTCGTGGGTCTGTTACTCAAAGCAATCCTGTATATGTGATAGGGTAGTTCTAAACTAGTGGTACTAAGGAATGTAATACGGTAAAACACATTCCATACAAATAGCGGTAAATTAGCTTGCGACGCTTCGTCTATGAGAAATGGGCTGTAGGCTGGGAAATACTTAATGGTCCAAATGGCCATGTAGACGATTTTGAGTCCTTACCGTGCTGGATAATGAGGATTGGGAAGGTGCTCGGTATAAATGGCAGCGGTAAAAATGGCAGCGGAAAAAATGGCAGGGTAAAAATGGCAACGGTAAAAATGGCAAAAGTGGATAAATAGGAAAAAATGGCAATTCCACAACAGAAAAATATGACCATTCGAGAAGGATGGGTCTAAGCTCCCATCCCACTAGTTTAAAATAAGGCTAAGTCCCCCCACGCAATATTTTAAAATGAATATTTTTAAATAGATATTTACTCTAGTGGGGTGGGGAGCTAGGTTCCTTCTCTTGTTTTAAATACGTGCTAAGTTCCCGCTCCTAGTATTAAAAACATTTTTTTTATATTTTCGATGTCGATTTTTAGAAGTTTTATGGGGGGGCAAAGTTCCTACTCCTAATTGCAGTAAAAGCACAAATCGTAGTGTGTTTAAGTGAATTTGATGATTATAATTCATTTTATAATTAATAGCTTAATTTGGATTTATATATATATATATATATATATATATATATATATATATATATATATATATATATATATATGTTAGGACGATTAATCGGAATCGGGGAATCGGAAAAATCGCAAAGGCAAAGGATAGGAATCGCATTCAAATAAAACTTTTTTTTTTTTAATTGGAATGTTTTTTCTTACAAATAATCAAATAAAACTTTTTTATAATAGGAATGTCTTCTTTGAAAATATCTTTTAAATAGTTTATTTATTATTTTTTATAATTGGAATGTTTTCTTTTTGTGTGAAAATACTTTTTCAATAGTTTATATTGAAAAATTTTTAAATACTTCATTCTATTTTTTAAATAGTCTAATAGATTTTTATAAATAGAACTGTAACAAAATTTAAATATATTAAACGTCATAGTAATAATGTATCCAATATATTGTTTTTTTATTCGACCGCATTACTGATTCACACGTGTTCAAACTAGTGAAATTAAAAAAAACAACTCTAAGTGTACAAAACTGACGAGGAACTGTTTTCCGATAAACACCGATTAATGTCGGTTTCTGATTTCAATAGCGGAAGCCGTCATCAAGTGGACCTATAATTGTTTTTTCCCAAGTTTTTCAGTGTGTTCAGACGTAATCGCCTAAAAAGTAAAATCTCATGGAAGGGGGGAGCTTTAGCTGGATATTCTTTTTAATTTGACAAACTTCTGTTTTTCCATTATGTACTGTATCCAAAATTTTAATAAACTCATTGTCAGATATTCATTTTTTTTTCTTTTGCCATATTTTCTTAATTGTCTATTGTTGCCATTTTTACCGTTGCCGTTTTTTACCGTTGCCATTTTTACCGCTGCCATTTTTACCTAAATTCGATTGAGAAGCGACAGGCCCGATATGACAGCAATACTTTATTTTTGGTCTGATCTGACTCTTGTAAAGATGTCTGTCCTACTACTGAAGCTATAGCTGGGTGAAGGTACATTCATCACTTTAACAAGTGTGAAGCGAATAAAACCGAAACGACACGCCTCACTGATTCCATTTCAGCGCCGATATCCGTTACGCTACCCACAGATTTAAAAATGGTTTGCTTAGTAGATAACGTAAATGAGTATTTTCAAAAAAAAAGCACTAGTGGTTAGTATTTTAGAGCACATTTACATAGAATTTCGAATTCTGCTTTTCAGTCACCGGACTTTCAAATTAGAATTATTGGCGCAACACGATCTTTATAAATCTCATTTAACACATTTTGCCTCGTGTTAAATTAAGCAGTTATTACTTAATAAGCACATAGTTATAGATATTAATATTTAAATATTATAGAGATATTTACTTAGTCGCAAGTAATCATAATACCTCATCTCAGAGATATAGAGGCCGAAACGTTAACAGTGTGAATAATGTAAATAATCCGAGTAATCATAATACCTCATCTCAGAGATATAGACAGATATTGAAGAATCGGTGCGGACTCGATATACCAAAAATATGGGACAACTAGAAAACTCTCACCAGAAGTTGGCATGAATTTCAACCCATCTGATATTCCTACACCTATGCAGAGACCTACGACTCATTCCTTCATTCTTAGAACCAATTCACCCGTAAGTTCAAGGAGAGCTTCTCTGCTTGCAGAGAATACGGGATACGCCATTGTCCGAGAGAGAATCCAGTACAACCATTAGGTAAAACAGAAATTACAAGATGATCCCCCAGAGGCTTGAGGTCTTCTTCAATAGAATTGCCGACGAAGAAGATCGAAAGCGTATCGATCATGACTTGGATAAATCATTCAGATATGAATTCGATGCTGTCAAGTTCCGCCAAGGACAAAATTTAAGTAGATTATAAAGATCAGAAGGTGACACACCAGGTCCATTTACCACATTTTGCCATGTGTTAAATCAAGACATTATTAGTTAATATGCACATAGTTATAGATATTGATATTTAAATATTATAGATATTAGATTATTACAGAGGTACAAAAAGCATTACGCCAAATTGTGAAATGCCGAAAGAACTGAAAACTGTAATCTTAGTTGTATTTGACGTAACTGCAGAGTAAAGAATTAATGTCCCTTAAAACGCACTAGCTTTAAAAAAAAAAAAGATATAACGATATAATACACCAAGTCACTGTAAAACCAGTAGATAACGATGTAAAACAAATTTTTACTATGTTACTAAATAATCGAAAACTAAAAACGAATACCTTGTAAAATATCACTATGATGAAGGAAATATATAAACTATATACAAAGTAGATAATATACGTTAGACAATTGCCAATAACATTAAAGCAAATAACTAATATCCTAGCAAAAATAAAATAAAATAAACAAAAATATGAATAAATAAATAAATTAAGCAAATAAGAAACAAATGAAAAATTACGAATGCACTCTTAAAGACAAGTAAATGTAATAATCAACAATACATAATCAATAATAAATAAGGAGTAAAAAATTAACAGACAATATTATAAAATAGCTATAAATAATGGCATTCAGAGGCGATCATCGTCGATCGCTTTGTATGTCAGCTCGGAGTGGATTCAGTTACCTATTATTTCTTTGGTGGAGGAGTACAAGGTTACAAAAGTGAGATTACAGTCCATGATGTGTCAATCTAAAGATGCTGTAATCCGGGAAAATGTGCCGGAAGTGAAGACAGGAAGAAAGATGTGATGTCAGCAGTGGAAGTGATGGTAAAGCAAGCAAAAATTCAGGGTGTTAAAAGGGAGGGCATACTGGACATGGTCTAGTTGAGAGTGAGGGATTCTGGTCAGAGTCCAGTGAACAGGAGCAACGCAAGTTACAGGAACAGGGGGTTCGGTAGCTCGAAGAGAGACGTTTAGTGCGGACTGTCCAACAGGTTCAGCAGGGTCGATGGCTCAACTGGGAGGGTATTGAGGATGTTAGATCAGTTGGTCTGACTGGTGGCGTCTAGGCGCAGGACATTTGAGGTTCCTCATACGGGTAGCATATGATGTGGCGGCATCACCGGCAAATTTGAAGAGATGGGGAATGCAGGACTCGATCTCCTGCCGGTTGTGTGGAGACATGCGTCACATACTGTCATCCTACCCGAAGACGCTACAGGATGGCTGGTATACCTTGCAAAGGAAGGTGTGACTGACACAAGGCAGAAGACCAGGTCGGATGACTCAAGAGCAGACCAGATCATGTGTTGATCTTGAGAAGCAACATCTGTTGCTTGGCGTGCTGACAGTGGCATGGGAAGAAGGGATTGAAGAGACTCATGAAAGAAAGCTGCTTCGGTATGAGAAACTGGTGGCTGAAGTCCGTGAGAGAGGATATAGCTGTACCCTGGTGCCGTTTGAGGTTGGCTGTAGAGGATTTTCTTCTGCTTCCTTAAAGAGATTCCTGGTATCCAAAAGCCGAATTAGATAATAAATATCTGTTGTGAGAAAGCAGTGGAAGGCAGTGCATGCATTACACGTAAATTCGTATCGAGTCGCGTCCAACTAACAATATAGACCGGTTTCAACGTAACTATTCAGGTACTGAGCTTAATGGGCGGAAAATTTCCTGAAGCACGGTACTCAGGTGAAAATTGCAGCTGGTCTGGAGCATGTATTAACAACATTTACCGGCCTAGATGTTCGTAAAATTTCATAAAAAATATGTGTCCTCCGACAGGAATCGAACCGTTATTTGGTTTGACATGCTATACCATTTAGCAACAGAGGAAGCGTTTGGTTAACAAAGTCAAATTACTGTTTCTAAGCAGACGCTTCCTCTCTAGCTAAATGGTATAGCACGTCAGGCCAAATGACGGTTCCATGTAGAATACAGGTTGGATGACACGTATTTTCTATGAAATTACTCGGACATTCAGGCTGGTACAATTAACGTATAAAGAGAAATTATGTTAAAATAATTGTCAGACTTAGTCTATATGTATGTATGTATGTATGTATGTGTGTGTGTGTGTGTAATAAATTGAGGGTGTTTGGGTTGTAACTGTTTTAAACATGTATTGTTAAAAATAATGAGTAATTTGATAATCTTTTCTATTCTCATATACAAATATCTTTTTGAAAATGTAGTCGTTGAATAAATAAATTCATGTTGTGTTGACCCGAGATTTCGATTCACATATGAGTTCAAATCTTGAATGAACACAATATAAATTTCGGTAATTTATCTACACGCAAAAGCCACATTTACGAAAGGATATTCGCATATTAGAAAAAAATCATAAAATAAAACATACACAATTTTTTTAATTTTTTTATCAATATATAAATATATGTTGTATGTGTTTGTATAAATATGTGTGTGTATCTATATGTGTGTGTTTATTGATCGCATAAACCAAGTGTACGTTATTTGTAAGTGTCATTGTTTTCGTGAACAACGCGGGTCATGTCATACCGTCCAACATATTCTTACCGTTCATCAGGTTGCAGAAGATGAGGATCAAGTTTGGATCGATGGGGTGACTCGCTAGTGTTTCTCGTGTTCTATTCATATGAATCCCCTGGAGTACAATGTCTGGATTGTCGGCCAACTAAGAGCCTCACATAGCAACAACTCGCCGTCGTGGTTATGATTGTCAGTACAAACAAGAGCCATCATAAGAACAACTCCCAAGGTTACCGATTCATCAGAGAAACTATTCAAATTTTAAAGAAATTTGAACGCAGGTTGTAAAAAAAATATAATAGGGAATACTTCGAAATAAACTTTGGTATCTAAATACATGTTTTTAATTTTTTTACACTATTTACATTGCTCGGACTATCATCTTCATCTCTGTTGCCATATTTATCACAACGTTCCGGCCGTTGCACGCTCCGGCCTTTGGAATGTCGGTGGTTGGAATGTCGAACTAAACCATTTTTGCAGTTCGAGCGTGTGCGCGTGAACATATATATATATATATATATATATATATATATATATATATGAAGAAAGATAGTTTAATGCATGCTATATTTATGGAATATTAGAGATAGAGCCTATGTAATATAAAAGTGAAATCAACACTCTAAGGCGACAGATTGTTTCATGCTAAACACAATCATCAGTCCACATGTGTTTTTTCTCGACTATTTCTATATACAGGTCAGTGGTACATTGTAGATAGTCCGTTCCAACGGGAGTGGTTTGTTTATTATTTATTTATTTATTTATTTATTTATTTATTTATTTGGATTAATTTATTTTACTTGCTTTTTCTTCAGTATATGTCTATACTTCTGAGGTGAGGTATTATGTACATTATTTACATTGTTCGGACTATCGTCCTCATCTTTGTTGCCGTATTTATCATAACGTTTCGGCCGTTGTACGCTCCGGCCTTCTTCAGGTGGTTGGAATGTCGAGCTGAACCCTTTATTTCGCTCGCTGGGGTAGAATGTTCTAGTTCCATGTGCCATGTCTAATGGATGTCAGTTATCAGTTATTCCTGTTAATTCCCCTCTCCAAGTTTTCCACCACTTTAACCAGGTATTGAACCCACACTCTTTGGGTCCTGTCACTGGATCTAACTAACGCCTTTATCCACGGTGCCATGTGTCCTTCACATTCTAACCAGCCGAAGAAGGCCGGAGCGTACAACGGCAGAAACTTTGTGATAAATATGGCAACAAAGTTGAGGATGATAGTCCGAGCAATTTAAATAGTGTACATAATACCTCATCTCAGAAATATAGACAGATTTAAATTTTTTGCTAATTACTTTTCAGAGTCAGATTCCACGGACAGTTGACTTTGGCAAATGAAGGAAGTTGAACAGTTGAACAGCTCGACCAAGAAGCGATTGAAAAACATTATGTTTGGTCCGGTTTGGTGAAGTGGGTCGAGCTGAAAAAATTCAGTGCCCTCCCATAGATAGATAGATTACGAACAGGTATTCCGTGACCCATTATGGTCATAGATGCACCACATATACTAGAGTCGTAGAAGCAATAGGTGTGCCTCGGGTCCATCCCTCTACGGATTGGTTTTGCATTCAATATTCTCGACTTCCTAGAATCGTTGCTACCCAAGGCTATAGAACTCAGTCATTCGTGCCATTTAAACCATATCTGTCGAAGAAAGATATTCTTACATTTCCCAAGAGTATTTGTGCGACAATGAACGCAACAGACTAGCCCGGATTTTGAACACAGCTGGCTTATTCCACGCCAATATCCGTTATACAATCCACACGTCTAATATACATACATACAAATCTGGACAGTGGTAAATATATTCCGTATTCCTATTTACATAAACATACTCATTTATATTGTTATTTGCCTTTATGGGCGTTAATATATATATATATATATATATATATATATATATATATATATATATATATATATATATATATATATATATTCTTTTGTTCATTGAATGCTATGAATGTATTTGGAAAGAGTGCAAGAAAAATTCTGCCAGCGCCGAAATCAAGACAAAAACCTATTTTCCCCTCAAAAACATCAAAAGTTGTGTAAATGTTTCAGGTATATATTCGTTTTAGGGAATTATGATTTCATGGCCAGCCCCAAAATTAAACAACGAATAAAATATGAATATCATTCGTTCTTACGTCAAACACCGATCAACAATAATGTTATTTCTTCCTTAGATTCGTACTTCAAAAGCTTTGTCTTAATGGTGTCCGCTTACATTGCTTTTGTGAAGTCAATATTTACTCAGCGCCGTTGATATTACATAGTTGTCAGTTCTCTTGTTATGACAGACTGATATGAGATTGGACGTTGATTTTAACAGCAATTTTTCTCATTCTCCTGTTATGTTTTCTCTGTGTGTGCAGTTATTGAATCGGATTTGCTTTTCGCGTTGTCGGAAAATATTATTATTATTCTTTATCTGCCCCCGATTACCTGCAGTAGAGACCAAATAAAAATAAGTCCTCTCAAAGCACTAGAACTCTCCTCAGTATTCTAAAAGTTTAGGTTTTCGATTATTTCTCGAATTATCTGTTCCTCTATTTTTTACAATTCTCTTCATGAATGTTTCAAGTGCTCTAACAACGATAAGCAGGACTGTCAGTCTCCTGTTCATAACTGTATTCTGTTCCTTTGTCAGGACAAGATATCTTTTCATTCGATTTCAATTTACGATAAATGATAGCATTTTCACTTCTCCTAACCTACGATAATTATTGAATGACCTGGATTGGAAGATTATTTTAAATCTAAGCATCAGAAAATATTATTTTTTCTACATGACACATTATTGTCGGTTCATGTACGACTGGCTCGTGGGAAGAAAAAAATGTTATATGTATTTTCCCACTCCTGACCTGCTCTGCTGATCAAGTGAAAAGAAGTCTTCTCAAAACTTCTCACGATTCTACTGCTTTTAATGCATTTTTACTCAACTACCTTTTAGAGTTTGTCTCTAGGAAACAAATGACAAGTTCCGTTAACTCAAGAAGACTTTCCTGTTTCAATTTTTATCAATCTTTAAAAAAGAAGATTCAAAAGCCGTTCCAGCTTTGGTGCAACTTTCACATTCTTTAACTACTTCAGTTGCTTAGCTAAGTTTTGCTATTTATTTAGCTGCTTATTTAGCTGATTTAACTGCTGGGAAATTAAATTCACTAACTGATTTTTTATTTTTTTTTTTTTACGATGACTAAATCTGGTTCTGTTGGCTGGAATGGCTGATCGGTTCTTACTTATTTGACACTTCAAAATTATATATTTGTATATATATTTTACACTAAGAAAGGCAATAAAGCCTCTAAGACACAAGGGATAATTACGTATGAAAGAATATAAGAAAAAATAAGACATTATTAAAGAGAGAGCACAATAAAAGAACAGGTAGTGAGAAAACACAAGAAAATGATCGGAATTGGATTTCGATTTTTGAAGATCAAAGTTAACTGGAAAGCAAAAAGCCGGAAAAGAGTTTCACAAGTGATGGGAATGTGACTGAAGCCGAGATAATATATTGCAGATTCTTTGGATTTTATCCAGAATTAAAAAGAACAAAAGCACAAAACCAGATGTGACATCAATTATGAAAGCGTTGACCAATGATAGACTTATAAATGTGTCAAATGGATTCTGGCGAGAAAAATTGTCTAGCACAACACAGTAAACGAAATCTTGTAGCAACAGAGCAAATGATTCAATATCATCTTTTCATGTGTAGCTGAAGAAGGAACAATCTAATAGAAGGCAAGAAGGTTCTTTAAGACGATTATAAATATCACACAGTAGAGACACAGTTCTCAGTTGTAAGTCAGGCAAATTTACTCCAGCTGAGACATGAACAGAGTTGGAAGAGAATTCACAAGCAAAG